TTGGAATTCCACAAGGTAATTCCTTTTCTGGGGCTTTTGCCAATATTTTTTTGCATTTTTTTGAAGCTAAATTTCTTGAGCATAATGAATTTAAAGCTTTTAGATATATTGATGATTTGATTTTGTTTAATTGTGATAATTATAATTTTATTTATAGTATTTATCCTCGAGATTTTGTCTTGAAGAAAACTAATGAGAATTGCTTTAATGTTGAATATTTAGATTTTAAAATTGATATTGTTCACAGTTTTATTAAAATTGGTGTCTTTGATAAAAGAAAAGCTTTTAAATTTAAAGTTATTTTTTTCTGCAACTTTAATACTAATTTGTGTAATAAAATATTTAAAAATTTAGTTTTTTCACAATTGGTTAGAATCAAAAGTATTTGCAATAATGTTGAAAGTTTTCAGGAATAATGAATAGTTTTTTAATAGTTTTTGATAGCTGTGAATAGTTTTTTAAATAATTTGAGTAATAATGATTTTTCTTTTAATTTTTGTAATGTTAATTTTTTAATTAAAAAAATGATTGAAGAATTCTAGGTTTTAATATATTTATTTTTTTTCCTTTTAACATGGCGCAATTCAAGTCTTAACTGAGCAGCCTCAGTTAAGCATTCTATTAATTTGTTACGTATTTCTTTCTCTTGACATTTTTCATTTTATTCTTCATTTGCGCATTGTTTTCTTTAGGTTTTAGTTTTTTCTTTTCATTCGGCTTGTTTGTGAAATTGATGTTTGACCTGTGACTATGTGAGTTTTTATTTTTCTGATGATTTTATTTGAGTTTCTTTTTTTAATTTGTTATTTATGTTGCATGTTTTTTTTCCTGGACTTCTATACAAAACCATCGGGGTACTGAGGGAGTTAATTTAAGCATTTGCTTCACCCTCAATTAGAAATGGTTTTCTACCGGGGCTGGTACCCACTGAAGACGTCGGCTTCGGTGGTCATATTTTCATTTTTATTTCCTTCATTTTCCTTTTCTTTAGTGAAAGAGCATCTCTGTCTTGTCCCGGGATTCAAGCCCAGGGCCTTTCCGATGTGGGGTCAGCTCCCTAACCACATTGTCTGATTGTTATAAACAATTAAAAAAAAAATTATTTCCGCATTTTGATCTGCAGCAGAATAATTATCAAATCTTAGCAACTTCTGAGAAGTGGCCCACAAGAAAATGAATAAAGAAGAAAAGATCACCAAAGGAGATCTGCTTGAAAGGTATAATTCTTAATCCTCCCTGGGGAGCCACTACCTATTTTTTTCTTTTTAAATTTACAAGATTAAATTCCATTAGGCGCCTTAGCGATTGTAGTAAGCACAACAGACCACGATACGGAAATATCCCCGAAACAGCTATAGTATGAACAGAAGGAGGGAATATATCCGAAATCTCCCCCAGTATGACATCGAAATTGTTACGAAACAGATTAAATTGTGTTTTTTTTATTAGTATGTAATAAAAAGAGCACGAACAAATGAATTATGAAAAGATAAAAATAAATAGCAATTAAAAAGCAACAACAGTTAAAAGACACGAAGTTACTTCGTAATGGTACTAAAATACAATGGTACAGAATGAAATGCTTTACGAAAATAAATAACTGCAATAAAAATGTAAAATTACACAACTTACGCTATTTCAGAAAACAAAGTCATATTATTATTGTTGCATTTACTTAAATTTTCAGGCTTGTGTGTTGAGGACAGATAGCACAAATCTCATAATATTATTATGATTATTAAGTATGTTGCCATTTAAAAAGAAAACTCCTAGAAATGTGATCTAGAAAATGAATCTGAAAAGGAACAGAAACAAATAACCAGAAACGTTTTGTTTACTGCTAATTCTTTCAGCCTTATTCTCATTCTTCTATACAAGTTATAAGCGCATTTAACTACTGCTGCAAAGTATGAAAATGTTCCTGTAGCCCACAGATCGAATGATCATCTCGAAAGTTTCTACTTGGAATTAATTAGATTTTTTATTTTTCGGTATCTAATTAATCTCAAAACAGTGGGTCGCAGTAAAATTCTTAGCTTATCAAAATATAACTAACAAGTCAGTACTCATTCTTACTGCAATGAACTCTTTAACTAGTATTAATTTGATCATTTACCTGTGTTTCAATGTTAAAAGATTTAATAGTTACTCTTTAGTTCTTTTGTCTCAGCTGTTCTCAAGCTCATGAAGTTGCTGTTTGTTTGAAGGTGATTTTAATAAATATTTTTTAATGTGATATAAAACCTATTTTATCTTTTTTTTAAATTAATTATATTGTTCATTTTATTTAGTAGTTAATTTTAAGTGGTCACGTTAAGTCAGTTGCCTAAAGTATCTTCAGAGGAAATGATTATTGTGTACTAATAGTGTTCTAAGTGGTGATAGAAGTTTATTACGAAAGTGATGCAGCCAAATACATATGATACATGATTGTGGCGTAACCAACACTGAAAATATTAAATACCAATTCACTAGTATGTAATACATGTTAACTTGATACTATCTATAGGTACCTTTTGATAGATGAAGGTTGACATTTTCGATTAACACTCTACCCTTAATCGTGACCCCTGGGCGTGATATGAATTAAAAAACGGCAATGCATGGTCCTCATTAATATAGCCCATAAGAATATATTAAGACACATAATATAATATATAGCTCTCATAAAAAAATCCAGTGAAGTAAAAAAAGTTTCCCAGGCCAATAAACAAAAATGAAGAAAAAAATAATGAGCAAAATGATAAAAATGAAAAAATATATATAATAAGCAAAAATATGATACAAATAAAATAGCGTAAACCAACTAATAGTAATCGTACTTCGAATTCTATCACAGATAAAATTCTGGAAAGGGTAACTACCATTAAAAATATTAAATGCCAATTCACTAGTATATAAGACATGTCAACTTCAATCTATCATGAGGTACCTTTTAATAGATAAAGGCTGACTGAGTCAGAAATTGAGCCCCCTTATGTCTGCCTATTATGTTTAAAATCAAATATCAGAATTTCCTGCCATGTTACTATGAAGATTATGCACATTTTTTTGCAATTCTACATATTTTATATCAATCTCAGTAACTGGGGAGGAAAGTAGGAAAATAATTCTTATTAAAATGTATTTAGTAAAAGTGAGAGAATTTTTAAGCCATTTTTTTCATTTTATTTTATCATTATGAGGTTTTTTTTTGCTGCCTTCTGCCTTCCAAAGATCAATTAGTTGAAAAGTTTTTATTTCTATAAGAACTTATAATAAAAAAATTATTTGTGAAAATTTTCATACAAGGATTTACTTGCCAGTACTACTTACAAAACAAAATAATCGCCTAGGTTTAATGACTTTTCTACAATGGCCAGCAAAAAAAATAAAGCATAACAGAAGAGGACTAACTCAAAGGGTATATTTTGTAGTCAATCCTGGGCAAACTTCTACTTTAAAAAAAATGAAGAATTTTAAAATGTATTTGACCCATTGATGTTTAGTTGATACGTACAGTTATTATTACAAAGAAAAAACAACAAAAAAAGCATTGTTTGAATTTTTTTTTTTTTTTTGCTTTCTTTATAACCATTGAAGAGCTGACCCAATTTTGGGTTTACAACTATTAATGTTCAACTATATAGCCTTGTAATTTTGACTCCGAAGGAGAAGACAAGGGAACTCCTTGATCAAGTATTGGGAGAAATTTGACTTTGTGGAGAACTTTTTGATGGCACTAACCCATATTTGCATTACATGGAGAGGAAAACCACGAGAAATTCCGACATATAGCCAAGGGGATTCTAACCCTTACTACCACTGAGGATATTTCACGTTACTACTATGTTCGGCGCAAGCCGGATGCAGAATTCGTACCAACCAGCCATCGCTATGGTTCGAACCCAGTTCACCTCTTTGAAAAGCGAGAGCTCTGTCCCTTAAGCTATAGCAACTTTTACTTTTTAATTGTCAAATTTGTCCTTTCGGAACCTGAAATGTAAAGTTATTTTCTTAATTATAAATTATTTTTTTTTATTGAGGTTTCAGACACAGTTTATGACCACTGCTATCGTAAATTTTTCCTCTTTTTACCTGATTGTTTTCTCCAAATTATTTGCTGGAAAGGTGTTTTATAACAGACTATCTTTATCCACCGGGGCGACATTGCCACAGAATATTACTAAGTTCTTGCAGAAAGATTTTTTATTTGGGAAGCGAAGCAAAGAAGTTTTGGTTTTTTTATCTGCAGAATTTTTCAAAATATCTGTTTTTCTGCGGAATTATTTTCCCCCTTTCTGCCGAAATATATTCAAAAAATGCCTTTCTCACAAATCAAAGGTGGAATAAGCGCTCGTGAATTTTTTTCTACTTTCTCTTGAGAGTAAAAAAATTTCACAATGATTGGCTAGATTCAGTCTAATATTATAAAAAGTAATTTCCAAATAGCAAAAATTTAAAAATGTTAACTTTACAAATATTTTTTAGAATATTTAATATATTTTAGAATATTTAATATAATATCGCCAATAATATTAGAATACGTAAAAAAAATTCTTACATTTATAATTAACAAAAATTATATACTGTTCTGCTCTATACATGAAAGCTTTTTTGTTTTCGTAAACAGAAAGTGCTTCTGATACTTTAAACTAGTAACATATATATTTGCTACTATTAAAAATGTCTTTCAGAAAGGTATTAGAACTAGAGAGAATTGTCGCAGAAAGCTCGAATAACTCTGCCACAGGGCTTTTATCTTTTGATAACTATATACACGCTAGTTCAGTGGAATTGATAACTATTTAATACTCGTATACTGTTTCACTTTCCTTCTGTTAAATGCAAAATTTTTAAGTACCTTCATTGAACTATTTTAGATTTCATATCTACATTTTTTTAAATTTATTTGATAACAAGCTATTTGTCATAGAGCAAGTTAACGGCTGGTTCGTCTTGGCCCTATCAACCTATTTTATCAAATATGCTACATTTATTTATTTTTTCTAAAATTATAGCTCAGAATAAATTTGTAATATAATAAAAGTATAAATATGTTAATTTCATATATCACTCAGACCATAAATCGTTTTAATAATTCCTAGATCGTTAAATTATTGCAACAAAATAATTTAGCAGATTGTTAAATCACTCAGATGATTAAGACACTAGTTTTGTATCTGTATTCTTAAATTTCCCCCCACCTCCCAAAAAACTCTTTGCTGATTTATAATTTTATAGCCTGTTTTGCTTTATAAAATTAATAAATAAAATAAAAATGATTTAAATATCAATTATTTAAGGGTTAATAATTTTTAAAATCAGAATTTTTTTTTTTGAAATTTCACATTTTGCATAATTTTTTTTTTTTAAAATATCAGAAACCTTATTTGTGAAATAAATAGTCTTAGATAATATGAATCAAGTAGATTTTTAAATATTAACACAAGTTCTCTTGGTTGAGCATAGCATGTGAAAGAAAATTATTCATCATTATTTTAGTATATTGTCTTTACCATGTCTACAGCATTAAACAATATCAGATATTTTGAAATACAACCTTAAGACTACTAAGATTTTTTTAAAAATTGCAATTAACCAATATTAAATCAATTAAATTCAATCAATGAAATTTAATTTAGAAATATTCTTCATAAAAAATAAGAATTATCTAGGTTTCAGACTTTTCAATACTTTTTAACCTTTCCTGGTGTTTAAAAGATTTCATTCCATACTAACACTGAAAGTGTAAAATTCAATCAGTTTATAAATATTTTGATTAAGATTTAGTAAAAATTTCATTTTTTGGTGTAAATATAAGTTCTTATCGCTGTTGTATGTGTAGTAAAAGTGAAATAAAATTTACTTTCTATTTTCCTTTAGTATTTATTATATTTTCCGTCGTAATCAATGGCCTTTGTACAAATTTTTTTTAATATAGTTAGTATATTTCCTAAAAAAATTAGTAACCTAAATAAACTTGAAATAATGTTAACCAAATTGCAAGTTTGAAGATATTTTTTTTTTCCATTTAAAAAGCATTTTTACATGATTTCTTACCTCTAATTTTTAAAATTAAATAACAAAAGAAAATTCATTATTAAATATTATTTAGGTTACCATTGATAATAAAAAGCTGAAATATAATGTGGTCGAAACATAAAATCTGATGTTAAAATATAAAATTTCCAATATGATAGACCCTCTTATTATCATCATACACAATTCAAAAAATATCCCATATGTGTCCTAAATTCCTCCTAAACTGGTCTTTTTTTGTCCTAATGTTATCTCAAAATATTTTTCTGAAATCAGTGTGCTGTGTGAGTTATTTATACCATAAAGTGGTCGAAAATCCATTTGGCAATAAACAAGAGATAGATTTTGTTTGCAACATTTATGAAACAATAGCAACTTTCAGTGTCATCAAGCACAGGGCCCCATTTGACATTAGAGCACTATACGTAGCCGGGAAGTTATCGGGATGTAGATTGACATTGAATTCGGCTTATAGGTGTCAAGAAACGTTTGAAATTTAAAGACATTTACAACTTTGCCAAACACTAATTAGAACTTGAGTAATCTAGCTATTTGAAAAGTTGTCGGAATTTTGATTAACGATAAGTTCCTCATTGCGACAATATCGCTAACTTTTACTTATAGTGGTCATGAAACAGTTACAACTTGTGTTGTCATCCAACACCGAGATTCACTAAACATGTGAGTGCTCTAGTTCCAGCTATTTGGAAAGTGGTCGGCATTTTGATTTGCAATAAACTCCGCTAGGAGATGAAATACATTTTGCTGTGCTCCATTTAAAATTCTAGGGTTTGACCAAAGTGGAAAGTGTGTAGAATTCTAATTTTAATAAGCTGTTTGTGGCTTTAATATCACTATAAATTCTGCTTTGTAGCAATCTGGAAATGATTGAATCTTGCATGTTATCGGGTACATAGCTATAGCAGAGATTTGAGAGCTGTGGCTAGTCTGAAATAGGTTGTAATTTTAATTCTAATATTCAGTCGTTAAAGAGACGACAGCAAGTAGATAAAAACATAGCAGTTAGGATGTTTGAGGTGATCTATTCTAATCTGTAAGATTGAATTACAGGACATGAAAATCAATCAATTTAATCAAAAGTATTAAGTTTTTTTTTTCAATTTAATAAATAAAAAAAAATCGCTTTTTTGAATATTCGTTTTTTTTTTTTTTTTTTTTTTTTTTTTTTTTTTTTTTTTTTATCGTGTCTACTGCAAATGCGATTTAAAATTACATTCACACGATTTAACGTCACACATTCATGCGATAAAATGATGCACCTCAATTCATATTCACATAGTTTAAAAGTCTGACATCAAGATTCGTATTCACGCGATTTAAAATTTCACTTCGAGATCGGTCTTCACACATCGGTCTATTCGTGAAATCGATATTTTTTTTATCAAAACGTTGGATTAATGTATACTTTAACAAGTTTTTTTTTCTTCATTTATTTAAAAAAAAAAATTTTATCGTTTCGTTTTTGGACTTTCTATTTTCAGCTTCTTTTTTTTTCCTTATGAAACTCATCCATTATTGTTTTACAGCATCAGATGAGATGTCTCTCGAAGACTACTGTGAGTGCTATAAAATGTTAGCTTGGAAGACTGCCTTAGAAGCCGAATCTTATCCTGTTTTCATTCATCCTGTTAAACTGAAACCTTATTTCTGTGGCAGATGTTTAAAAGACTTCTCACCGGACGACCACATATTTGTCGGCTCTCTCCTTCATTTTGATGAGAGGAAAGTCATTTGTCATCGACCCTTCATTACTAAAAGGTTTTTAACAGCCTCCATTCACGGAAAGACGGGTCGTAGAAACCCGAATGTCCGCAGTTCTAAAAAGAAAGGCCACATTTGTAAGACGTGCCATAAGAGTTTTTCAAAAGAAATTTACCTCATTTATCACAGCCGTGTCCATACCAAGGAAAAGTCATATTTCTGCAACGAGTGTCATAAAAGTTTTTCGCACAAATATGGTTTGAGTTATCATAAATGCCATCATAAGAAAGATAAAACTTATTCTTGCCAAGCGTGCGGTAAGAGATTTCATTATGAGAATAGTCTCATTTTACATAGTCGTTTTCATAGTGAGAAAAAACCCTACTCTTGCAGTAAATGTAGTAAGAAGTTTTCATTAAAAAGTAATCTAAGCGCTCACCATCGTGTTCATGCAAACTAGGACTGACGTTTAGAACTTTCCACTCGACTCGTGTGTTGCAGGGAGATCATTTCAGATTTATCAAAGTATAAGAATGCGCGTCTAGTCAAAAATTCACCCTTAACAAGAGGTTAAAACGAAGCAAACGTAGGCTATGAAATTATCTATTAAAAATAATGAATATCATAATTTTATTGCTTTATATACTTGAGAATAAAAATCATAAGTAGAAAAGTTATGAAGCGTTATTTTAATACTATTTTCCTCCTTACTTGAAAGTTATGGCGCTGTTGAATGTTCACTCTATCATCAAAAGTTTGTCATGATCAAAAAGAAAAGAAAAATAACTAAAATTTTACCGTAAATCATATATGGTAAGCTAAGAGGTCTCTTAAGCATATATATGTATATATATATATTTAAAAATATAGAGAAAAAGATGAAAAGAATTTTTTAAAGGAAAGGAAAAAATTATGAAGTTTTTTTTTTTTTTTTAAATATTCAAAAACTTAAATTTTTTTAAAAAAAATAAATAAGTAAAAGCCGAAAAACAAAATAAGAAAAAGATAAAATATCGTCTTCATTCTTCTTATATTCCTAGAGGCATTTACTCAGAAAATTCTATAGTAGTAAAAATGTTTTAATTATAAACAAAATATGAATTTCAGATAGAGGTACTGTTCATTTTCTTTAACTTTATTTCATTCTACTATTCATTTTCTTTCACATTCATAACGCTTAAAAAATAGTTCTGTAAAGAAAATTTGCATTCTTTTTATATGCATTTCATCTAAACGCTTTATTGTATAAGCGAAGACCTTTTACTTAGGTGCAACCTTTTAAAGCAAAGAGATTTTTTTTTTTGTAATGAAAATGTAATTAATTGCTCTTTCCGATTCATGTAAATCATATTTCATATTAAATGAATGAATGCAATAAAACAAAATTTTTCATGTATATATGTTTTGAAAATTAATAAAAATCTAATTTTTAAATGAAATTTTTGTGAATATCATTCTTATTTCTTTATTAACCATAACAAAAATTAGTCTTTCTGTATTTTTTTCAATATTTTCAAAAAGTTTTTTTTTCTTTTTTTTTCAAATGAATGAGAAAAATATATTTTTTAATCTAATCTACAATTAAGTTATTAATTACGATGTCTTGTTACCCATTTGTTTCTGACATTATTTTAGTTTTTGTAATGACTGCTTTTAATCTATTTACTGGAGTGTTTTTTTATTAATAATGAATTGAAAATTTTAGATTATCTTACTATATATAAAAATCTAATGGTGCTGTCATAGTTTTCCATTTGTTGTCGGTACATTTTTATTGGCCGGAAATGGTAGGATCCAGTTTTCCCACATTAATTTTTATATTGGTTGCCATCAATATAAAATTGATATAAGTCATAAAGGTGTTTTCTTATAAATATTTTTGCACTCTAATTTAAAGGTATTTATCCGTACTGTTATTACGTTTTTGATTTTGTTTGTTTTCTAAATTAAGAGTGTGAGAGGATTGTTTTGATTATTATTATCGTTAGAATGACATAATTCTACGTTACATTTTAAGATACACGTGGCAGCGGGTCGAACCCTTATCCGAAAACTCCTCCGGGGGTAGGTCGGTCACTATTAATCTTGCATTTTAAGATAAAGTTATATAAATCAGTGTCTGATCTCATTAACCATTTTAAATTTATTTTTTGGTGCAAATTACATTGATATGCTATTATGAATTACGATTAATGAGATTCGTTAAATGATTTAGAACTTAGCTTTCAGCTTCATGCAACTCATCAAATTTGTTATAACAATATACTTTTAATTTTAAATGTTATTTCAAAAAAATGATAGATCTTAGTAGTATCATAAGGGAAATATTTGGCGGGACAAGTGTTCTTTTTATTTTTGGTTGAATTATTTCAACTGTCTCATGCCAAGAAACAGCAATCATTGATAAGCAATCATCGTGGTCGGTGAGCGTTAGCCAACAGGGGTTTTATCAATACTCAAAAACGCTCATCAATTTCTAAGGCGATCCTTCAATAAAAAATTAGGGAGTAATAAGTTTAACAATGATTGGTGGGATCACTTTAAAAAATTTTATTTCGACTAAAACCATTAACAATGAGTTGGGGGGAACTACAACTCGAGAAGCAGAAGACCGCTGAAATCAGCTGGTTAGGTGTCAACAAGACGTCGTATTAAAGTTACAGCTATAAGACTGGATCAATTTTCGGATCCGATTTAATCGGGCATCTGCACATGGACGTGTGAGTGTCGAATCTGATTTGCTATTGAGTCGTGGCATAAACAAATGCAGTCTTCCTAGCTGTCCTGGTATTCTTGATTTTTAGCGATTTGTTGTGATATTCCTAATTCTTTTTATCTGTTTGCTCAGAACATGCTTACCATTTAGACCAGTGGTTCCCAAACTTTTTTGACCTATGGATAAAATCAAGACTTTCAAAGTGCAAACGGACTCCCTACTGAAAATCAATTTAAGTACATGGTATAAAAATACAAATTTAAAAAAAGCAAAAGGCATTCAATAGCCGGTGAGGCAAAAGGCATTTAATAGCCGCATACGCTAATTCAAAGGCTGTTGTAGTTCATTTACGTCGCACTAGAGCTGCACAATGGGCTATTGGCGACGGTCTGGGAAACATCCCTGAGGATGATCCGAAGACATGCCATCACAATTTTGATCCTCTGCAGAGGAGATGACACCCCCGTTTCTGTAGCCCGACGACCTGCACGCGAAGTCGAGCACTTTGCGTTGAACAGTTTAATGAGGACAAATACCGCACACCCTCGATCCCTACGCAGACTGATCCAAGTGGTCACCCACCGGCACACTGACCGCAGTCAGTGATGCTTGACTTCGGTGATCTGCTGGGAACCGTGTCCTAATGATCAGTCCACTGCGGGACAATAACCGACGAGGTTTTATGGGTATATTTATGTCCGGCTCGTTGTTTGTGAGTGGCAACCGCGAATTTCCTTGAGCACTAATTTCTATTCGATTTCTCTTTATAGTGATGAGGTTTATAACGGCACTGAATCCACATTCAACCAAATAGAAAGACGAGAAAGCCGCCAACAATTTCTATACAATAATCCATGATGCAGGATATTGTTGTTGTTAATTTACGTCGCACTAGAGCTGCACAATGGGCTATTGGCGACGGTCTGGGAAACATCCCGGAGGATGATCCGAGGACATGTCATCACAATTTTGATCCTCTGCAGAGGGGGTGGCGCCTCCGCTTCGGAAGCCCGACAACCTGCACGCGAAGTCTAGCACTTTACGGTAGCACAGTTTAACGAGGACCAATACCGCACACCCTCGGTCCCTACGCAGACTGATCCAAGTGGTCACCCACCCGCACACTGACCGTAGCCAGTGATGCTTGACTTCGGTGATCTGCTGGGAACCGTCTCTTAACGATCAGTCCACTGCGGGACCATGATGCAGGATATAAAATTGGGATTTGTTTTTGTTACCAGAATTCATGTTATCGTTGTTCAATCATTGGTCTGAGTTTGTTCACGCGTAAATGGGTTTAACACTAGGTAAGGAATATCCACGTGAAGAAAATCTTTGGTTCAGTTCTACATGAAGAGCCGGTAAGTGTGGACAGTTAGGAAGCAAATTTTCATCTCTTTTTTTTTAATTTCAAAAGATTTGAAAACTAAGAACGCTCTCCGATTCCCAAGTTTTGTTCGTACAGAAGAAGTTTTGCTACAAACGCATATTTTACTATTTTAGTTTTGGTTAAATTGAATTTGTCACCTTGCAGTTTCAAATTAGTTCCGTGATAAATATACTGAAAATACGTTTGGTGCAGCTTGTTTTAAGTTGGCCAGAAAGCCTCGGTATCAGGCTCTGCTCATTCTAGTTATGTGGGACTATTGACATTGCATGGGGAAGTATCCGAATTCGGAGATGCTACTGAGAATTTGATAGGTGATCGAAATAGGCTACAGGTTGCACACAACAGGACTCTACACATGGCAGCACTAGGCATTCTATCACCTTTACCTTGTAGTCATATAGTAGGATATAGGTTAGTCTTTTTTTTCTTCTTGATTTTCAAACTGACCAATAGTTTTTTAGCGTGGTAAATATTTTTGATAATCTAAATACAAAAAAAAATATGGGAAAGGGCCAAGGGGAAATATTGAAATACATTTCTATAAAGAGGGAGATTTTAGAAATAGAAACAGTTTTCTCTCCAGATAGCGTCCCGCAGTGGACTGATCGTTAAGACACGGTTCCCAGCAGATCACCGAAGTCAAGCATCACTGGCTACGGTCAGTGTGTGGGTGGGGGACCACTTGGATCAGTCTGCGTAGGGACCGAGGGTGTGCGGTATTGGTTCTCGTTAAACTGTTCTACCGTAAAGTGCTCGACTTCGAGTGCAGGTCGTCGAGCTACCGAAGCGGGGGTGCCATCCCCTCTGCAGAGGATCAAAATTGTGATGGCATGTCTTCGGATCATCCTCAGGGATGTTTCCCAGACCGTCGCCAATAGCCCATTGTGCAGCTCTAGTGCGACGTAAATTAACTACTACTACAACTCCAGATAGCGTATTTCCACGAAATACTGGCCAATCAGGATCGATCTCGTCTGCCTTTGAATTAGCGTATGCGGAATTTTCCATGCAGTGTGAACAGCCCGTAAGGTTTAAGCTATCTGCTGGGTAGTTTCTGATATTATATAAGCTATATGCTGAGGCATAGGTGTGCACGAATTTTAATAATATAATTTCTTAATCAACAAAAATGAGTATTTTGCATTACTTTATATGAACTAAAAATTGAAGTTTATTTCTTTTTCTTATTCATTCATTCTTTATTCTGATACTTATAATGTATATCTTATACCATTTCAAATTTTTAACTATCTAGAAAGGAGGGCAAATCAGTTAAAAGTCTTCAAATTATTTTACAACAATTCCGTTTCAGAGGGCCGTAGAAACATATTACTAGAATACCTATATTAGGTGTCTAGTTTAGATATTATAGTTACATATTTATAGGTATATTTCCACACTTAATTAGAATTTCGCATTCCTGTCCTCAATTGTTTAGCAATATTTTTTTAGTTGTGTAAGACTGATAATAGTTATGTTTGTAAATAGTAATACTGTTTGATTCAATGCCTGTTCCATATCGTGATCTGTCGCTCCAACTACAATCGTCAAGTTGCCAAATAGATTTTAAACTTGCAATTATAAAAAACAAACAAACATGTAGATGTTTGCCTGGGGGTGGCTACGAGTTGGTCCCCTTCTGTGATGTTTTTTTTTAGTTTCTCGCTGGCCACTGCCTGGAAGTTTCCAAGACTTGACGATACTTCAGCAACGGATCACAATACGGAAATCTCCCCTTACATAAATAAATCTTAAACTTGCAAATTTAAAAAAATGTAGATGTTTGCTCTAATGGTTTCAAGCTATACCTTTCCAGTTGGCCCTTTTCTGTGATGTCTGTTTTAGTTTCTTGCGGGCCGCAGTCTGCAAGTTGTCAAGACTTGGCTATTATTCTGCCACAGATCACGTTATGGAAATCCTCCCAGAATGTAATCTAGTTGGCGCTGAAACAATAAAAAACTTTCTCTATTAAAAAAAAGCAACTTTTTTATTATAAAAAGCAATTTTTTAAATCTGCGTGTTCTGGGTTATTTCTAATAATTGATTGAGATATGTTACGTAAAACATCAGAGAATTCTGAGAATTGGCACGTAACCTTCAAAAGACATTGGCGTGAGTTTTCCGAGCAATGCAATTAACATTTAAAAATATCACTGAAGTGTATACCTGGTAGTGCCATTTCTTCTTAATAGAATATCCATATAAGGTATGCTGGATAAGTGTAAAATACGCAACAACAGATACATTCTTGCATTGATAAATCCTATTATTAGGAATAACTGGTAATGATTATTAATAATAACTATATTCCATTCACTAATGTTTTCCTTAATCCTTAAAAAAATTTATTTTTTGCATTGTATCTAAAATTGTATTTTTCCACTAACTAGAATTAAAAAACTTTATAAAATGGGATACGCATGAAGCATCGAAATACTTTTAAATATATTTTTGTTATATAAAAAAAGATGCTTCATTTTGAAATCAAAATTACATTCTGTTTACTTATATATTCAAAAGTTCTTATTGTGCATTAGGCTTAAGGCATAGATAACGACGTAAGTATGTAACAATAGTAGACTGAGCAACTATAGCAATCAGTGTTAGAAAAGAAACTTTCTTTGGCAACTCAGTGAAGGTAGCTCATCTAAAACTGCCCCCTTCTTATTGTAGTTAGGTAAATGTAAAGTAATTTAATTGTAAATGAAATTATAAAACTTTTGATATCATTTTTAATTTTATTTCAAATTTTAGAAATAAATAAAAATTGATATAGTAATTTTGAAATTGTTTGAATTGAATTGACAATGATAAAAAACAATTATTTCAGTATGATTTTCTGATTATGATATGATTTTTAGCTTTATTACTTTCAAATCTTTATAACTAAATTAATTTTTAAACTAATGTGGGTACAAACCATGTTTTATTCATTGTTTTTTTTAATTTTATTTAATTCCATCACATTACTCATTAATTTTTTTTCCGGAGTAGACCACTTATGTCAACGTGGGTAAAATGTTTCCAATTGCAATGACACTCAGCTAAGTGGTATTCTGTAACTGTTACCTTTTTCTTTGAAATTCACAGTTTTGCATGATTTGCAGTTTGAAGAATGGTTTGAAATAAGCAGTCTAATCCACCCAAATTCCCGAACATAATGCAATAATGTATTGTTTCAATCTTTTATGGTTGAAAGATTAATTGTAATTAGTAAAAAATTTATTTCAGATTATCACAGTATGCTCATAAGAAGTTTTAGCTATCGCTGAAACACTGCTGTACGAGAGGCAGCTGGAGAATTGCTCCATTTTATTGCATGGATAGCTTTTCTTCAGAAAAAGTTCTGACAACTTTCCATATTTTCGTTCTTTTTTAGTACCTTTCATTTATTTTTAGCTCTTTTTATATAGTGTAAATGAAAATATAATTGAAAATGAGAAACCTAATATATATATATGAAACTTATTGTTTTTCTTCGTGTTTTTTTGTATTTATTTATTTTGCTGTATATATATAAAAGAAACAATATAAATATTTTAATAAAATTCATAAACAAGGAAAAAAAACCTGCTCTTGTTATTTTGAAAATTCAAATCATTTAACACTTTGCTTCAGTTTTGAATTAAAAGGATTTTATAGTATATATTTTCTAAACTAATAAAAACTTTATTTACAATATATTTATATACAATATCAGGGGTCATAAATTACTCTATTTAAACAAGGAAGAATAAATATTTTTTGAAACTAAGACTCATTCATTAAGAAGAGTGAGAGAAGGATAAAAATTATCTAAAACCAGTTTATTAGAAAATTTAGTTTAAAAATGATTCTTAAGTTAAAGGATAGGTATTCCAAGTAGGACTGATAAACTTTAATCATATTTAAAATTATTATATAAATATTTTTTTTTTAAAATTATTGATTTAAGTCGAATGTATTTATTAAAGGAATCATTTATTTAGAAACTTATAAAGTTATGTGGGACTATTGACATTGCATGGNACTTTAATCATATTTAAAATTATTATATAAATATTTTTTTTTTAAAAATTATTGATTTAAGTCGAATGTATTTTTTAAAGGAATCATTTATTTAGAAACTTATAAAGCTAATACTTACTAATATGAGATATCTTAAATTTCATAGCCTTTAAATTTATTGTAAATGTAATGAGTTTCAATAAGCAAAATTGCAGCAGTACTTGATGGGCAATAGTTTCTTGAAATGACATTTTAAAAATCATAAAAATCTGAGTTTTTCTGATGCATAGATATAATAAAATTATCTAAGATAAAATAGATTTTATCATAGATATAATAAAAAAATTTTTTTAAAAAAAATGGAATTGAAAATTTTTGAATTTCTACTTTCAAAACACAATTTAAAAAATTAATTTTAACATTGCAATTACATTTCTGTGTAAGTAATGTGTGTTATCTAAAGTGTGATTTTTTTTGTTTTTTATCCAATGAGTAAGTTAAATTATTCTGTATGGAACTATTTGTCCATCTTTAATAAAGGTAAGGTATAAGGTATTATTATTTATTTTGTCATTTCAAACATTGAATAAATAAATAAGCAGTTTTTTTCTTTAGTAATTATGATGCATTTCTATTCAATTTTCAATTCATTTTAGTGAAGCATTTACTGGTTATATGTATTGCTAGGAAAACGATTTTTGATGCAGTAATATTGTGTGAAGTGCATTGTTATGATTTATTTTTAATAATATTTCAATTATATTTATGAACTTTAATCTACTTTAAATAAAAAAGCTCATTTAAATAAAATTTATTATTTTTTAAGAAAAACCAACTCTGATTTTAATCTTACAACACAAGTAGACTGTTTTCATAATCCCTTTTTGTTCTTTTCGACTTCAATTGGTGAGAGTTTTGATACTTATTTGTTACAAATTTATGGATTATTTATAATTTTTTACATTGATTTGTAGATCCCCATTCATAGTTTTTTTAATTTATTTTTTGTAAGGATTTTAAAAGTACACGTATCTGCAAAAATATGGTAATTGTCAATTATCTCAAGAAATATGCATTGGATCAAAATTCTGAAAATACTGGTGTAAAATATTTTCAAAATGGGAATATTCAATGATACTGAACTTAAACCCCATTTTCTGTGTGAGGATAAAGGTCGAGGCACCTTCAAAGTTTGAAATATAAATTTATATTTTAGTTCACACTTGGCACTGTAAACACAGAATGAAAATAAGTTACAAATTGTTTAAAAATGGAGATACCTCGGTAAATATATGTAAGATCCATAATAATTAAAAATAGAGTTGTTTGATATTTTAAAAAACATATCTAAAGACATTAAATTTGATACCTCTCAGTCATCACTAGTAACTGCCAGAGGATGAGTTTAGTTCAAAGCTCTGAAGTTGTTTCCACTCTTACTACAAAACTTGACTCCAACTTATACTCCATTAAAAATTTTCACCCAGTCTTTGGTAAAACTATTAATGGTATTGCAACGTAAATATTAATTTAATGGTGGCTCAGGAGATAGAGCGCTCGCCTCCCCAGTTGACCCGATTTCGAATTTCAACGATGGCTGGCCGATACATATTCTGCACCGCTGTTTGTTATCAATGAATGCAACTTTTAAAAATATTTCAAGTGTTTATGATTCAATACATATTTCTGAATATATAAGATTATCTCTATATTTTTTGAGCGATGTTAATATTTTAAGGACAGATATTATGCTACACCCTATATGTTATAGGACGAAATTAATAGATAACAAATAGCAATTAAAAATTTTTCTAGCCAGTCACCACTCAATTGCCACTTTTTTCATCAATAATTTATCCCATGTGTATTTTATAATTATTTTTTTAAATAAATATGGAATTATTATGAACATTTCTTAAAGTTTTCATCATTTTAAAAATTAGCCTTGTAATTATTGCCATACTTTGAGAAGTGTTCCTAACATAATGCCTTATATTATTAGTATTAACAGTTTTTTAACTGTCTTATATCTTGAATTTTTTAAAAAGTAGCTCGGCCAAAAATACTGAAACAATCTGCTGGCCAATTTTTCTAATTTTGCTCTATATTCTTCTCAGAAACACTTCAAAATGGTCTTTATCAAACATATCTTTTTCATTTACAGGTATGTCTGAGATAAAAATTGAAGTAGATTATTGTAAGTGCTATAACATGCTTGCATGGAAAAAAAACCTGAAGTCAGGAGGAGGCATTTGTAGAAAAGAAGCGTCTTATTCTTGTGGCAAGTGTAAGAAACCTTTCTCACCATATGATAATTTAATTTTTTGCAGCCTGATTAATAGGACGACTGTTACTGATCACGCAGAGAAGAATTCTCTTACTTCTCGCTCTTGTGACTTCAATTTCAGTTCTCAATTTACTAAAGACACTTTAATCAGCAAAACCGATTCTGAGAATACTAAAAACAGTTTAATTCACAAGGCATGTTCTGAGGATTCTGAAAAAAGTTCAGCCTACAAAACAGATTCTGAGAATTCTAAAGAAAATTTAATTCACAAGGCATGTTCTGAGGATTCTGAAAAAAGTTTAGCCTATAAGACGAATTCTGAGAATTCTAAAGACAGTTTAGCTCACAAAACATGTTCTGGGAATACTAAAGAAAGTTTTGTACACAAAACTTATTCTGAGGATACTAAAGATGGTTTAGTCCACAAACCGTGTTCTAAAGATACTGATAACTCTTTAGTCCATAAGGAATATTCTAAGGAAAAGTTGTTTGCTTGTTCTATTTGTAATAAAAGATTTTTAAATGAAAGTCATTTAACTACTCACACTTGTACTGAAACAATAAGTTATTCTTACAGTGACTTATTTAAAGAAGAAAAGCCTTATTCTTGTAGCCTATGTGAAGAGAGATTTTTACTGAAAAGTTATTTGACTAGTCACATCCATGCTCGTCATGGAGAGAAACCTTATGTTTGCGACGTATGCGGGAAGAAATATGCAGAGAAAAAACGTTTGACAACTCACTCTCTTGTTCATACTGGTGATAAACCTTATTCTTGTGAGGTATGTGGCAAGAGATATGCTTATAAAAATCAATTGACAGTTCACAATCGCTTTCATACTGGTGAGAAACCCTATGCTTGCAACTTATGCGACACCAGGTTTACATCAAGAAACGGTTTAGCTTATCACCTTTTGGTCCATTCTGGTGAGAAACCTTATGTTTGCAATACCTGCAATGCAAGGTTTCCTTTGAAGGTTAGTTTAAATTATCATGTTCGGATACATTCCGGTGAGAAACCTTATGTTTGCAATGTGTGTCATAAGAATTTTGTACGGAAATATGCATTAACTAAACATAGTTTAATTCATAGTGGTGAAAAACCTTATCCTTGCAATGCGTGTGATAAGAGCTTCAGACAAAAAATTGAATTAGTACACCATAGTCGGATTCATACTGGTGAAAAGCCTTATGTTTGCAACGTATGTGATATGAGGTATACAAATAAACATCAATTAACTGTGCATAATCGTATTCATACTGGGGAGAAACCGTATTCTTGTGATGTTTGTAATGCAAAATTTTCATTTAAAAATAGTTTGACTCTTCACATGCTAACTCATACTGGCGAGAAACCTTATGCTTGTAATATGTGTGAAAAGAGTTTTACCCTGAAAAGTGCATTGAATAACCACAGTCTGTTTCATACTAGTGAGAAACCTTATGCTTGTAACGTATGTGATAAGGTGTTTGCACAAAAAAGTTCATTAACTTATCATACTCGGATTCACACAGGCGAAAAACTTTACGCGTGTGAGATATGTGATAAGAGTTTTACAATGAAAAGTCGATTAGCTTCACACTGTCGAATGCATACTGGTGAAAAACCTTACGCCTGTGAGAAGTGTGATAAGAGATTTGCTCGCAAAAGTTCATTAACTGATCATGCTTTTTTTCATATGGGTCAATGAATGCCTTTCTCTCGTGTAATGCATAGTTTAATTTCAATAGTGGCTTAATCATTTTCAAAGTGGTAAAAATTCTTGTTTTTACAACTTGGTATGAGTTTTTCTCACAAATATAACTATCTTGTTCATACTACGTGTATTGAATTATGTCACACTTATATTTTTTAAATTAATTTATACAGCAGAGATCAATGTAGATACAAATCAGGTAATTTTACAGCATCATTCAAAGAAATCTAAAAAAAAAAATATCCTTCCTCAAATGTCTGACTTCTTCAGATACCAGACTTGCATAATGGCAGATATTGTGATCACTTTGAATCGAGGTGTGGGATTGGTTTAGGTTTGGAGAGTCTTGTTATCATTTTAATTCACCCCTATCAGAAATGCTCTTTTATTCACAGCAACAGACAACCTCAGATTTTCAGTCCCTAGGAGTTCTCGTAGTAGCCGAAGAGTACTTAAGACTTTCAAAAACTTTTAAATTCATAAAATGCATAATTTCATTTGTTTATGTCTTTCCAAAAAGATAATTTTCTTACTCATTAAAATGTGTAAAAATTATATTTCATTTTGTAAAATAAGAAATATATTTTAAATTTCTGTAAATGAGTGTTAATTTGTACAAAGTAAACATCATTTCAAATGGAATATCAATTTAAATTTTATTCTGAAAATATTAGACAAGATTTAGTTCTGTTAGCTTGTATGGTCTAAACTGTTATGTTTCTATTTTATAACTGTTTATTTATTTAATGTGTCTGAATTTAATTTCATACATTTTTACATAAATGTATTTATTCATAAAATTGTATATTTTGTAGAAATAAAGTATCAATTTAATAATTATTATAAAATTACATATTGTTTTTCACATAATTTCTAAAATATTAATCCTGGATTGACATCTGATTCATCTCTAACACGTTGACTAGCGTGTCACCCATATTGGGGTGGCAGCAAAGTTTTTTATCGGGCCGCGTCACCCATATTTGGGTGACAGCAAAGTTTCTGATCAGTCTACTTCACCCGTATTGGGGTGACGCTTATTTGACTACTTGCGATGGATATTCATGTGTATTTGAAAAGATATTTCACAGAAAGTAACAAAACTATTGAATTGTAATAAGAGTATTATAAAAGTGATTTATTGAGAAAATTATACTGAGCCTTGTAGAAGCTTTCTTGTTCACTTCTATTTGACTCGCTAAGAAATAAGTTTCAACGAAATAGAGTAAAGATTTTAAATCCTCTTTACTCGGCAAAGATTCAAATTGATGGTGTTAAGTGGGGAGATAAGAAACAGATGTGAACACAAATAAACAGACTTGATACTATGGAAACAAACGGACATTATTAACGGATCAGTGGGTATACCTAGCAGAATACGCTTTGTACAGCGGTATTCGTGGCCTGAAGAAGATTTCACTGTAAATGTGTGCGGCAGTCAACGTGTTAATAAATATTTACTTTATAAATATTTTTAAATTGTATTGAATTATTTTATTGCAGTTTTGGCAATACATTTACAAAAAGTATTTGGTTTGAAAGTGAAAATGCGAATTTAACTGCTACATAATATTTTGTTTAAAAATTTGAGACAATGTTTTATTAATATTTAGAAACCAAATATTTTTAAATGTCATATTTTTATCTGCAAGAAAATAGTTAATATTTATAAAGTAAATATAATTATAAATATTTTTAAATTGTATTGAATTATTTTATTGCAGTTTTATAAGAGGGATACAAAAAGTATTTGGTTTGAATGTGAAAATGCGAATTTAACTGCTACATAATATTTTGTTTAACAATTTGAGACAATGTTTTATTAATATTTAGAAACCAAATATTTTTAAATGTCATATTTTTATCTGCAAGGAAATAGTTAATACGTGTGAAATAATAAATTAATGTGAGAGATGTTAAATATCTATACAATTGTTTTAAAATTACTAGGCAATTTCACATTTATTGCTTCATTACATATATTTAAAGCAATTCTATATTTATTGCATTGCATATAAGTGAGAGTGTAGTTGTTTTATTCTTGTGAATGTGCCAGTTTTGGGATAGATTAATAAAATGTTAGCAATAAAAAAAGGCTACTAATGAAATAAATAACAAAAAAAGCAGGTTAAATACAGAATATTTGACAAAGTTCTTTTTTAAAATGTCATTTCTAAGTAAACTTTTATTGATTACTGGTGGTTAGTTGAACGTAAATTGATATTCAGAGAGCTAATGGTCTACTAAACAGATCTGAATGAAATTTCAATTGTAGATCATGCAGCCAAATTTTTCCTTTGATGAAATTTTTTTTCTGAAAATTTGTCGAAAGGTGGCATTAGTAATTAAGATAAATAAAAAGAAAGAGGGGAAAAAATCAAAGAATAATTGAATTATTTATAGATCTGTGTGGCTACTTGTCAATGATATGCCGGAAGCATACCTCCACTTTATCAATTTATGCAGGCCTATGGTTTTAATAGTGCAGTGCCATTTATTGGCATAGTTTAAAACTAGTTTTATCTTCTGACATAATCTCGAAAGTATGTGATCATCTACATAATGTGCATTTCAAACTTCATCCTGATTTTTTCAGTTGAACATATCTTATGTAACAAGTCTCTATTAGTTAAAACTATCCTGTAAGTGATTAAAGCAAATTAAAAAGAAAATATTATCTATATTAGTTACAAAAAGATTTTTATTTTCTTTGGCGTGAAAATGTCCCGACAAATCGTGAAATAATCATCTCCTGAAAAATCATCATCATTTTGAAATTATTTTCAAAAGTTTAAGGAACCTCATATAAATTTCATTGTGTGAGCATTTCCTTGAGATGTTTCCCTTATTTGTCAATTTTTGCTTGGTTTTAAACATTATCCCCAGTTTTTAGATAACTTCAAATTTACTGAATTTATAACCATATATTCACAAAACATTTTTTCATTGAAAAGGAATTATTTGGTCATGAATATTTAGCTGAATATTAATATTCAACTGGCAGAATATTTGTTATTTAATCAAAATTTGAAACATCTTTTATTTATAAATCTCAAAAAGCTTTTCAAAAGCCTATTTGGTATTTATCAAAGAACAATCTGTTAAATCAACTACTATCTTTCACTTGTAGATGTAGGGACACGTAATTTTGTAATTTTTTTACACCTTTTTTTGTATTGTGTTAAAGAGTTTTTTTTTTAAAACTGGAATAAAATACCCGTTATACATACATGTCTGATATACAGTCGATTCACAATAACTTACCATTAGTTTGCATTTTTTTGTTTTTTAATGTATAATAAACTTGGATATTATAATTTATAGATAATTTTTTTGTAAACTACAGAATAAAGTTTAAGAAAAACGAAATGTAAAATTTACAACCTTACTTTAAATTGAATTTTACATTTTTGTAAAGTAATCTGATATTTTTCAAAAATTTTATTGAATTAAGAACTTTGAAGTCTCTAAAAAACAAATGATAAATTTTTTGTGAGTGTAAAAATACACTTTTTCTCCTCACTCTGTAAATCTTTGTAGAACTTCAAATGATGTCCAGATACATTTAGAGCTTCTATACCTTCTTCTCCATCATTGATGGTATATATTCTTCATCTGGAAATGCACATTCAATAAATACTTCCTTAAATTTTATAAAATCAGCATGCTTACATTTTGCCACAAAGTTCTTCTGTCTTAGGCAAAGGCTCTCTTTTTGTTGATTTCTTTAAAAAATTCACTCTTTTGGAAAGAATTTTTTTCATCGTCTTCTCACTCTCACCATTATTCCAAGCACTGAAAATCAGTCTCATGGCTTCAAGCACATCCATTTTAATTGGCTGAATATCGTTTATTGTTTCCTGGTTGTTTGCACTTTATGATGCCCTGATCAATAGGCTGTAATCTCGCTGTTGTGTTGGGTGGCAGAAGTTGCACTATTATGGCTTTCAAATTATGTGGATTACTATTTGTAGTTTATTTATCCACAAAAATTTTCGTTTTTTTATAGCATAAAATATTCTATTTAATTTCCTCTTAAAATCTTCAGAAAAAAAAAATTCTGCCATCAAAGTCTTTTTGTTACGTTTTTTTCTAATTTTTGAAACAAAATTGATTTTGATACTTATCAATCACAAGCAAAAGCAATTTTTCAGTATCTGAAGCATTGTCTTCGACTAAGACTGTCAGACACTCTTTGCTCATTTTGTTTCCTAAGCGATTTTTATCTTGAAACATCATTGTCTTATTGGGAAGACATTTTAAAAACAAACCCACTTAATCAATATTGAAAACACAGTATCTTTGAATCAAATTGGGTAAGGATTTTTTTAATCTAATGTTCACAAACTTCATTAGTGACGTTATTAGCCTCATTATGCAATGAGGCCAATGTTATGTCCACTTTTAAGTCATACAGAGCTCGAGTTCTCGATCTTCAGTCAGCTGCAAAATCCTTTGGTCTATCACAGCGAAGTCGCTCTTCTAAGAATTGCATTATTCGAATTTCTATTAAAGAAGAGCTGATTCCACCTCAGGAAAGGCACACTTTTTTTAATGACGGTTCATACATTCATGGCGTTTTAGAATGATTTAAAAGATAAGGCTTTTAAAATTGTTGAAAGTATTTTGGGCGGAATTCCATATTTTTATGTTTTATCTTCTTTTTCTTATGTTCGACTTTCTTGACACATCATTAATACGATTCATTACATCTTCTAAATAATTTCCTCTTTGACATGTTAGCTTCTAATTTTCTCATCTACCTGTTTTTAATTTTTTCTTCTGCATATTTGACTCCTGGTGGAACGAGCAAATGATAAATGTTGGAGAAGAGGGAGCCAATTTATCGTAAGGGAGAAACTGGTGTTTCAAATGATGATTCATGTCACTGATACATCAATTCGATTGATATAAACTCTCAAAGGATTATCCCCCTTCTCATTCAGAGACACAGCAGATGTTGTTCAAGACGTGCTGAGTCCAATCAGACTCGCACAAAATGAGTGTGAAACACTTTATTTCACTTTGTTGGTGGTCAGAAAAGGCATTCTTTTAGCTATAAAGAACAAGACATCTTAATTGAAAAACAAAATCAAGTAATAGGAAGTGAACGTCAAGTAATCGAGAAAAATTAACATAGAATTAAAATTAAAGGGGTCAGGATCGAAAAAAATTGAGATAAAGAAATGTTCGAGTTGTCGCGAATTGACTTTATATCACAAGTATATATTCATATATAATTCTTTTTTTTGTAAATATTTTTGACTAGTTATTTGTGTTCATTATTTTTTTTTAAAAAAGAAATTCGAAAAATTGCGAATTGACTTTATATTACAAGTATATATTCATATATAATTCTTTTGCTTGTAAATATTCTTGACTAGTTATTTGTGTTCATTATGTATTTTTTAAAAGAAATTCGAAAAATTGCTACATATTTGTAAAAATGTAAATAAGTTATGGATAGACATATTTAAAAAAAAAAAGGATGATTAAAATAAAACTGAAATAACGATTTAAATCAAATAAATCAATTTTTTTCAAATAATCTGTTAAAACAACTCTAGATTCCCTTGCTGTACTAGTGACTCACAATTGATAATTTATGGTACGTTTTATGTATTGTTTAAAATGTTTTATACATTGTGTTTAAATGTTTTAAGTAGCTGTTGTACAGATTGCCACAGAAAACTAGAAATTTTGTAGTATGTGGCATAATTTGCAGAAATAAATTTCGAAAAAATAATTTTTCATTGATGGAAATGCATATCAGTTATCTTTTCGGATATTGTCCCCTACTGATATTCCAATAGTCTTCGAAAGAAATTCCGGAATGCTCAGTAATGTC